GCAAATTTTGAGAACAGGTTGGATGCTTGGCATTTATCATGCCCTTTTGAGTAGATGTTAAATAATAGAAAAATAAAATAGAATCAAAAAACCTTAATCTTAAATTGGGCCTGCTCTCAATGTCTGAGCTTACTTAGGCACTTTTTGTCCCAGAGATCTTTTCTTTACATATGAAAAATTAAGGTGTTGGAATAACTGCTTTCAAAAATTCTTTTCACATCCCAAAATGCTATGGGTATGATTCTATGCATCTTTTCTTGTTGTTGTTGTTCTCCTAAACACCAGACACTCTGTCATAGTGAGATACTAAGATAAATGGAGCAAAGATATGATCTTTACCTAATTTTATTTCCTTTCTTTAGTAGGCTGTTCCATGGGAAATATTTCTACTTCATAAAATTCACATGAAAAGGGAAAAAAAACCCACTAATGTTACCTTTATCATTTTTAATCAAAAGAAGGTATGAAATATATATTGAACTTCTATTCCTTGCTTCCCATCAAAGTGAATATGCAAATATATAGTAACACATGGAATATTAGGGAAGCTCTTTTTCAGGATGCAAAGAAACTTTTCTAGTAGAAACATTTTGACCTGGAAGATGCTCTTTGATCAAAGAAGCTGAAGCTTTTGGTATTTTAAACACCCTCATATTAGGGATATGTAGCTACTTTATACTAAATAATCCATGTACTTGAAACTATCTGAAATCATGAAAAAAAATCACGAGACTTAATTACCAGTAAGATATATTATTGGAATAACTCAATAAAGTAATTGTTTTTTTCAGCGACCTCTATATAGGTCGTCTGTTAAAATTAAAAACCATATAATGCCAGTGACAATAATGACTAAATAATTCCATAAATAGCAAGTAGATCAGTAAATGGAAAATTTGCTGCCCTTATTAAAGGAAATTCAGTTGTCTAGAAATGGTTTAGAACCATGTATTTCCTTTAATAAGGAAACTAGATAAATTAAACTTTAGTATAGTGAGTTGTTTTTAACTTTATATTATCTGAATTCAGCTCATAGCCTCCTATTTGACTGGAGATTCTGAGTTATTCCATTTATCATTCTAACAAAGTAAAGAAAACATCAGTAACTTAGATCATTAGAAGAAATGCACACTGTATACTATCCCCAGTGGAACCTGACTAAATCAAAAACAATCATATTGACTAGTGTGAAAAAAAAAGTCAGAACAATAAAACATTGGCAACTTACAAACACGCCACTCAGGTATTATGGAAATAAGCCCATCAAAATCACTCAAGAAACAAAAATAAAGCCAACTCACCTATGTTTGAATGTCAGAGGGATTTTCAGGTAATAGCTTGTAATATGAAGGGCACCTTTAGATTTCCAATGTGAATTTCAACAACCTAAATCTTTCTTTTAGAGAGTTACAATTCTCAGGAATTCCAAAAGAATATATTCTTAATACAATTATAGGCCTTTTTCCTGTAAATGAGTTCTGTTATTTCTGTCATGTTTAATTTTATCTGTTGTTATGTCTTTGTTTTCTTGCATAATCTGTTTTAAGTCTTCTTGCAAAATTAGATGGAATATAAATTGTAAATACACTATTGAAAAATAATTGATATTTTGCATATTTTCTAAGTTTTAGATGCTTTATCACTTCATCCTCCTAAGAGTATGAAACATGTTTCTTATTTTATAAAGACCCTTACTGAGGAATTGAGACTTCATGAGATATTCAAGTTCATACAGATTATAAGTAATGACAATGAAATTCTCATATATCACTGATTCTTCAGCATGCAGCTTTATACTAAATAACATTGCTTTCACTATAAAATATTTTACCATGGCATATTTAATGTTATTATTATATAATATATATGACGTTCATTTACATAGAAAAATGGTCTCTGATTTCAATAGAATTCTAAAACATTATTGAACATAATAGAAAACTTAGTACTAAAGTCATATGTCACTCTCAAATATATTGTGACTGATTTGTTTCGGGACTCCTGAGCACAATAAAAACTTACCCTGAGCTAATAATTTCCCTGCTGATGTTACCTATCATTGTCACCATGGAAACAGGCAGCCATCTTTATTTTCTTTTTCTTTTTCTTGTGCTCCTTTTTTCTTACTGCATCCATCACTTTGCAACCATATAGTCAGCCACTTTGAAAGCATAATACAGGTAACCCTTTCTTTTCAAAAGTGTGCATTACACCACTTAAATTTTATAAAAGACCTATTTTTAGTATCTGTTTTCGCTAATCAAAAGAAATTCAAGGAGAATTTTTAATTTTACAACAAAAGTCAAAAAGTGAAATGTAGCATTAGTATTTTACAACACATGACCTAGAGGCAGCACACATGTGCCCTGAGCACAGCCAAGCTCCTTCCCTGGAACCACTTCATAAATTCTGTGCATTTATCATCTCTTCCCTGCTTTAATATAGGGTAGTGCTATGGTGTGATCTTGTAGGTTGTGTTTTAGGCCTGGGGGCCCTAAAAATTTTTTCATATCAATCAATGGTAATTGCATCTTCATTTTATACCACTTTGGCTAAGCAAAGAATTTATAGTGCCCTTTCAGATAATGGGGACACCTGCATATACTCTCTACAACTATAGTCATAGAAATTTTCTGATGCAAACTGAATAATGCACAGAGACCCCTGTTTATTTTGCTTTAAGAGCTGTACATATTTTGGCATCTTTTTTTCCACCAGATAATTTGCTCGGAATCCTTTAATCTCTCCCACCTTTCTTTACTCACAAAATTCCTGTTAGGTTTTTGAATTCAGGTTACAATTAATTTCCTCCAGGAATATTTTTGCAATATTCCTTCTGGATATGTTACACCCCATCATCACACTGTGTTATAATGATCTGTTTCTAAGTCTGTTTTAGCCAGTATATTCGGAACTTATCAAAGGTAGGATAGGATTAGTGTTAGAACATAACTATTCAATAATTTTTTTTAGTAAAATTATCATTTTAATATTTTTAAAAGTAAATATATGAATATTTTACAATTTAAAATATGTATCATTCCCCTGGGAAAAAATATCATACATTTTAAGTAAATTCCTAAAAAGCTTATCAAGACTGGTAGAGATTATGATTATATATTCACACTGTTCACAGAAGCTTATGACAGGAAAGAAAGCAGCTTAGATTGAACCAACATTCTTCTATGCAGATATTTTTTAAAAACCTCAGTATTTAGAGACTATTTATTTATATTCATGACCACTTATAGTTTAAGCTTTACTTGATTAATTGACCCCCCCACCAATCTAGACTCTGCTTGCATCTTAAAAGCTATACAATGCTGTCCTTCTTTAGAATTTTTTTTTTCCAAGAACACTTCTCAAGTAAGATTTGTGAACAAATCTTCCCAAGCATATATCCCACAGATAGACTAAGGAGATGAAAACTCTGGATGGAAGTTTCACTCCTTTCTTCCTCCCCAGCAAAGTCATGGTCTGTCAGGGAAGATGGACATAGCTCACCTTAGGCATCCTGAGAGGTGTTTCAACACTTCAATTCTGGAGTTTCCCGGATATCTAGCCCCATTCCTTAGGCACTGACTAACTTGAACCCCAATTTATTTTAGTTTTCAAACTGCACAGTGAAAATTATACCTACATCCTAAGGATGTTATGGTGTTTAAATGACTTAATAGATCAAAACTGGGAATGTTCCAGGCATAAAGCAAGTACTGTATAAAGTTTAACTAGGTGAGAATCATATATCAAACTTCTTTTTAGTGTGCCAGTCTTACCTTATCTCAGCTCACTAGAAATGGAACTTCTGTGCTCAATTATATTTATATTCAATTTTGTTTTCATGAGGAAAAATAATTAAAATCAATATAGATAGATATTTTTTGAGGTGTATAGCCTGCCTATTTTGAAACAATATGTTTGGCTTTTATGCACATTTGAACGTGTCCATGAATCAACCTGAATGGGTCTAACAACTAGAAGAAAATCCTCTAATGAACGGAGACAAACCTCTCTTTGGTTTGAGAGTCTGGGATTCTGCTCTCCTTACCACCACAGAATGTGCAACTCTGATCACTCTGCTGGTAAATCCACAACTCACCAGAGTGAACTAATTTTGATGCATTCTATAAAAGGAAAACTTTCAGTAAGCAGGCAGTTCTGCTGACATTTGATAATATCTACTTGTCAGTGAGATTTTAGAAGGTGCCTATCCCCACCTTGATTCCTGGATTAAAAAGAAGCAGACAACAGAAGTTTACGGAATAAAAATTAATGCTAAAATATTTTGCAAGCATTTCATAGGGGATCTCATGTTAGTTAATGTTTACTGTTCATGGCCTGGATGGTTTGGTTAATTAAAGAAATCATTGGGGATAAGGAAGCACTCAGAAACGATTGTGGGTTTTGATACAGTTCATAATAAGCCTAGAGATTTGAGGGATCCTTTCAAGTTTCTATAAAACTGAATATATTTTCCCTTTGGCCCATTATTTACTTAACCGCAGGTCATTTATTTTGGCAGGAGAAAATGTACCTGTTTAATATCAAAAGGCCTATGAATTTTAACCTTCTTTTATTGCCCTATTATATCATTTGAAAATTTTTAGCTAAATGAAAAAAATGGTGATTTTTCTATATATTATGATTCCTCTCAGCTTCTGTGATTTTAGTTTCCATAATTTGAAGTGCATATTGAAAATAAATTGCTTTATTTGATTGCATGTAGGCTTTCTATTAATGAAGTCCAGTAGATATATTTAACATTGTATGTACATCTATGAAAAATAATATATTCAGTAATGGATCTGAAGATAAATGAATCTGTGTGTGTATCCAGTTAAAGATCTTGCCTAATAACTATTTTCTTATTGCATAATAATATGAATTTATACTTCTGATCATGAATTATGCATGTTGGGGACAGATCAAGCTATTTTAGGTGTGAATATTAAATTGGCTAATACTATTTTTCAATACTTACTCTTGCATTGTGTGCACAGGACAAAGTCCAGCCATACCACCTCCAGTATCAACAGAAAAAGCTTTCAGAACCACTCCAGCGTCACATAAGCTTGAAGGCAAGTATTTTCTTTTATTTTTTCCCCCAGAGATCTTCTATAGTATAAATAAAATACAATGCAGAGAAACAAATGAAAATAATGACAGCAATATGATTGGTATTTTGACAAATAGATTTAGTATGTACATGTTATAGCTTACTCTTCCTAAATTACAATTTTTTAAAAAATTTTATTTCTTTATTTATACAAGCACTGGGTACAGTCAGTAGTGCGGGAGAGAATTCACCAGAGTGAGAGAATTCACCAGATCCAGAGCAAGGAACAGAACAGGCAGACTGACAAAATACACTGCTGAGGGGAGCAGCGGGCAGCAGGAGAGGTCTGTGTGCCATGTGGGACCCTCGCCGGTGGCTGGGGATCCAACCGGCGCTACAGAGGCTGCGGGCAGCTTCGCAGCCCAGCACTCAACTGCTGCGCCACCAGGGGAGGCCCCCAACTATTTATTAAATCCTGACCATAAGATCATATCAGTTATTGTCCAAAGTACTGGAGATTCAAAAATTAATAGATAATGGTTCCTTCCTTACCAACGTTCATATAAAATCAAAAGTTATTAAAAAGGAGCAGGTACAAAACACATTTTTAATCCAAGTGAACTGCACCACAAATTTTTTGCTAATGGTGGTCTCCCACAGACTATCACAACTCCTTCCCACCTCCATTCAGTCTCACAATGAAAAGAAACTTCTGTGTATACATGTGGACACAAACTTGCTTGTTAAATTTCTAACCATTCAACACTACCTGTTGGCTTTGACCATCCCTTGAGATAAAGGGTAAGAAATCTTATAAGGACTCACCCAGAAAGAGGACCACACAACCACCACCCCAGAATAAGGACTGTTTGAGGAAAGAAAATCATGGATCATGATCTGGAGTGTAAGAGAGAAGAGATTGTAGATGGCCACACCTTGTCATCCTCATGGTCCCACGTCAAGGTGTAGCCAGAGTCAAGAATCAGAAAAGTTCTGTAAATCACAGAACCTCTGAAAGGAATCGTTGTGGCTGGATTTAAAAAAGTGGGTTAATTCCCACAATGTGATAAATAAAAATTTTAGTACAAATTACTGTGAACATGTAAAGAAAGGAGGACATAACACATGGATCTATTTTGGAGAAATAAGGTAGACCTTGGAAATATTTCTCTGCAGAGGTGACCATTAAATCTTAAATTTAATCTTAAATCTCAAGAATAAGTGTTCATCAGACAGGAAAGGAAGAAAAGAACATTGCCAATATAAGAACTGGAATATACAATAGAGTGGAGGTGAGAACAAAAAAAAAATTTTTTTTTTTTTCAGAGTAGCATAAGTAGTTGAGCAGGGAGAAAAGGAAGAAGGCACTGAGAAGACTTGGGGGGATTGATTGAAAGGCAGGCTAGAACAGATCGAGAATTATTATTCTGGCAAAGTTTGGGATTTATTCTTATCTTTTAACTCTTGTCATAAGTATTGAACAGTTAAAAAAAAAAAACCCTGATATACTAAACTGCTGATATATTTGTCAACATTTTCTACTTACACTTGCCTACTCTCTTCTTTCTTTTATTTTTTTCTGATTGTAGTTTTGCTTATTTTTACAAATCTTTGTAATCATGCTATTTTACCCAGCTGAATAATTTTTATTTTCCTTTAATATTTCAATATTTTACATGGAAAACATATTACAAAAAAAGATACAGGCTAAAATGTCTTCCTCCTAATCCTACCTACCAATCACCCAGTTTTCTTCCTTACAGGCAACATATGTAGTTCCTTGTATAATATCTTCTTCCAGAGCTACAGATATTTCCTGCTCAGTTAAGAGATTTTTTTTCCTATAGAAGATGGATGACTTACCACGGATGGAATAGACATGTTCATGTAGAAAGATCAACTTTGCTGTCATTAGGGCTAGAATGGTATCAAGCTATGCTTGCAGGTTCTTGGGGAAAGAATAGTCCAAAAAGTTGTAAAGCCTGCATTAAGTGGTATGTAGTGGATGGAGAAAAGTGGGTGAATCAGACAGATAATTGAAAAGAGAATCAATTGGTGTAAGTAGCTTATTGGATATAGGTGCTGAGGGAGATTAAGAATTAGAATGAGCCACATCATCTTGATCCAGTCATCTATTTTTGGGCATTTGGGTTGTTTCCATAGCTAGCTATTGTAAATAGTGCTGCTATAAACATAGGGGTGCAGGTGCCCTTTTGAATTAATGTTTCTGTGTCCTTTGGGTAATACCAAGGAGTGGAATTCCGGGATCATATGGAAGCTCCATCTTTAGCAAGTTGAGGAATCTCCATACAGCTTTCCATAGTGGTTGGATCAGTTTGCACTCCCACCAGCAGTGCAGGAGAGTTCCTTAATGCATACGTTGTGCAAAAATGAAAAAAAATGATGTAAAAATATATATAAAATTAAAAAAAATAAATTAATTAAAAAAACAAATACATCAGAGATATGTTCCCAAAAGTAATTGATGTTCCCAAAAGAAAACAAAAAAATAAAGATAATGTGGATGAGTTTCATTTTTGAAGGTTAGAGACAAATTTAGGAAGTATTTCTTATGACGTTGAATGGCAGTATTCTCTGACATTTAATATCTAAGTAAAATGTACAGAATGTAACAATAAATACTATTAAAGAACATGTTTTTTAAATAATGATGCATTAAAAAAGAGAATTAGAATGACTCCAGACTTTCTAAATTAAGTATCCAGGTGAACATTGTTGCTATTAACTAAGATGGGAATTCATTGAAATAAAATAAGCACAGTGAGGAAGAGATGGAAAGTTATGTATGGGTCCAGAGAGAGAGCTTTCCATGGAACATCCAGGGAACATTACCTAGCAGACCTGTCTAAACTGTACACAGAAGTCTAGAAAATATTACATGGCTGTTGTCAGGAATAATGCACTCAGGTAGTCTTTTTATCTCTATATCATGCTTAACTTTTCTTTCCCAAAACCACATTGCATAATGAGTAGCTAATAATGAGAAGCAAATGTCTGTAAATTTCAGTTTATTTCATGAATCCCTCAAATCCCCCCACAAAGGTGACCCAAGCCCTGTTGACCATTTACTATCACTTAGAGAGATGATGGGAACTCTATGTCTTGGAACATCGTATAGTGGTTAACAACCTGTGCTCTAGAATCACAAAGGTCTTGGTCTAAATTCTGGTTCTGCCATTTTCTGCATGGATGACCTTAAATCTGATACCTAAACTTTCAGAGTTTTGTTGTTGTTGTATTAGTAACATTGGTTTACAACACTGTATTTCATTTAGATGTATAGGACCACACCCTTCTGATGTTGACAGTACCCCAGCACCAAGGCACCCATAGGCTTCCACCATAGTTCATTGTGTTCCCTCCCCACCATCAAGTTTTTATTAGTAAAATCATGATACTCATATTAACTAACAGAAAGGTGTTGTAAAGATAGAATGAAACTGGGCCTCCCTGGTGGCCTAGTGGTTAAGTCTCAGTGCTATTACACTATGACTGCCCTGGCCTGGGTTGGATCCATGGCAAGTAGCTAAGCCATATATATGGCACAGCAGACCTCTCCTGTCTCACCTGCTGCACCCCTTACAGTGTATTTCAATTGATCCGCCTATTCTGCTCCCCACTCTGTCTTTGGTGAATCCTGTCACCATTCCACCTCTGGCCTTACCCCAATTCTTCTATGCATAAATAAATACATTTTTAAAAAGAGCTTTAAAAAAAGAAGATAGAATGAAACTATAATAATTTGCATGTTTCTTATTATTGTATTTAATATTGATGAGCTTAGGGACTTATCTTTTGACCTTGTAGTTCGTTGACTTAACAAACCTTTTACAAAGATCACCATTATCAAAATCAACTGTGAAGTTGGTAAAAAATGAATAATAACATCTTAGATACAGTGGATCAGATTTCTGGCAATTCAGAGGAAATACCTATATATTTTTAGAAGCTCTTAATTAAGTTTTATGCACATTAAAATTCAAGACCTATTGGTTTATATCCATGTATAACAAATCTTACAGCTACCACCAACTGTTTTACACCAAATAGCTGAAATCAGACTATTCAAATAGTCATTTTTAAAATTTAGTTTTCTTTTTTAAATTAAACCTTATCTTGATGTCTTGTTGAGAAATTCATAGGCCATATGACCATAGACTCCACCAAGCCTTTTGGCTACATATTTAGGTTTCACACATTCAATAACCAGAGAAGAATTTGAGTAACTGGGCAGGTGAAGTTATGGTAAGGTTGTGTTCGGACACCAGCATGTTCTGTGCATTTTTTGGCCTGATCCCAACCCAGGCATATTTATGGATATGCTCTTTCCACTCACATTTATTTAGAACATTATGTTGGCTATACCTATATATATTTAATATTTGATATTCAAAACCCCTTTAAAGTAGACCTTATTATTAATGATTAACAAATGCAGGCTTGGATTTTATTTATTTATGCTAGGTATTAAATAGGAAAACTAGACACTGACCCTAAATTTTTAGTTCTATTCCCAGGAATCTTTTTATTATATTATTACTCAGACAATGAAGTTTGAGGATCCTATGCTCCTACCTTTTGAGATGTCAGCAATTTTTAGGAAAAAGACAAAGTTTTAAATTTAGTAGAGTTCCATATTGGAAACACCGTGTTCTGAAATCTGTTCAGAGTGCCACTTACAGTGTTTTAAAATTCATTGTGTGTGCAAACACCTAGAGATCTTGTGAAATGCAGATTCTGGTATTTCTAGGGTAGGACATGAGATTCTGCACTTTTTCTAGGCTGCCATTTACTGCCAATGCCAGTGGGTCAGGGCCACATCTGCGTAGCAAATCCCTTGATGATTTAAGAAGGAACTGGAGAGCAACTGCATATTTCTAAAAATGCTTTTAATTTAATATTAGTCACCTGAGTGACATTTCATTGGCCAAATGTCCTTCAGAATGACTGGAATGTCACTTGTGGATAAATTCAACTGCTAGTTTTCTGGGAACACAAAAG